ATTTAGTACTGTGACAGGGATGAACAGATTAGGCACAACAAAGTTTCTGTATGAAACAAAAAGAGATGGTGCAACAACATAAAACTGCCATTCCTTGTCGCAGAAGAGTCCACAATGTATTGGAAGAATACAACTAGATGAAGAACTGCAGAGTGGAATCATAGCTAAATCAAAGTCTTTCTTTCTAATGAGATAAAATGAAATGGCTTGTTGAACGAAAGAGTTCCATTTATTGTACAAAAACAAGGGCTATTACTGCGAAGTTGATAATTAATATCCGATTAAAGTTCCCACTCAAAACATACAAAAATGTTTCAAACTTGTTTTAGACGGGCACTAAGCATGCCAATTAATATTAAATGAAAAATAGGACTTCTTACTCGGACAACAATCGGGTTCTTCATATCCATCCTTGCAAACACACGTGACGGTATTGTTCACCAGGGCACACTCTTCATTTGGTCCACAAGAAAGATCACTGCAGTTTGTAGCTGAAATGGATTAATACTACTGTTATCATTATTTTTCGAAATCTCTAACGAGGAAACTCCTGTTTAGCGATATACTGTATATTAGGAGTAACAACATTTAAACAAATAGAAAATTATGCCAGTGTAATTTAAGGGATCGTTTATATTGTTAACATTAGAGAGGTTAAGATACCCCGGTTCCGGTTTACGGGTACGAGTATCGCCATTTTGTTTACCAATTTTTGCTGATGTCAGCAATTTTACCCGTAATTTCTACCCGTTTCCCCGCGGTAAACCGTGGTCTACACGTAAACGACAAACGGGTACGGGTGTTTTCTGTTTACTATTTTTGGGCCGTTTAAATAGTACACATTTTCAACATCTTACCCAAATAAATAATGCACATATACTGGTCAAAGCTTTTAACAATTTATGGCGAACCTCAACAGCGAAAGTTGCCATTCTCTGATCGGTTTTCTCACGCCGGAGTATCTTGGATTTCTTAAGTTACAAGTTATTCCCCGATTTACGGGTACGGGTACGTGTATATCACCCGTACCCGTAAACCGGAATCGGGGTATCTTAACCTCTCTATTACTAAGACGAAGATCGACGAGTTGAGCTCATTTTAGATAATTTAACATTCAATTTTAATTCCCTCTTGGGAATTGTCTGATGGTTCGTTTTCCATGCAATTCCCAACGGTGGAAGAATGTGATTTCGACCGGCAATTTTTATTTGACGAGTATGTGGCCATTTCTCATCGTTACGATTTGAAAACAGTATCATTGAAAAGCTAAATAACTGTTCTTTCGCCTTATGTAAAAATTTAGTTTAGCCACGTTTATGATGCACGACAGCCTGTTGAAATTCCATAGCGTTTTTTTTAGACACCCTGTATAATTATATAAGCACCCTGGTTTAATTATTCTGGCGCGTGCGATCAGTGAAATGTACATCTTTGACAAGTTCCGGTGACTAGTAAACATAGGTAACCGTAGAAATTCATGCATGCAGCAACCCCTCGCCTGTATTTTCCAACATTGATTTAACATGAAGTATTAGTAATTGATCAACACTGATCGTAGCCTCGAGTTTACATCAGTGTTGCCAAGGCAACACGATAATTTTAATTTTTATTAATATATTTTTTGTACAACACGCCAAAAATAGTTAAAAGATTATTGCTTTTAACTATATAGTCTATATAACAATGAATTTCCGAAATATGTACTGTAGGTATGTTGTTCTGCATTTTGTGAGCTTTGATTTAATGTAAAATTTAACCTGAATCGCTTCGTAAAATGTTTTGAAAGGTTCATTTTAGTATTAAACTATAAACTGCTCTTTCCGATAAACTGTTTTTACTTTATAAAACAAAATAAGTTCAAATTGTTTAGTAATTTCAGTTCGGTTTTCAAATTAATTTGCTCTCCTTTACATTTTACCTTTTTTCTTAAATTAAACAGGGTAATTTAGCAAACTTTAATACAGCTTGGTTGGAAAAGAAAGCAGGGCATGTTTTTCTCAATAAATTAAAGCACAGTCAACAAAATTCATAAACATTAAACATTCAAAGCAAACTTGCCCTATTTTCCACGATTTTCCACAGTAAATCAAATCTTCTCAATTCTTCAAACAAAAATTGCTTGAAAGCTCATATTGTGTGAAACGTGATTTTCCAAATACATGCTTTTGAAAATTGAAATCTTGTTTATCCTACTCCTGGCAAACAGCCATATTTTTGACATCAGTGAGGATGGGATGGCCACCCACGGTTGGTGACCCACGCCCGCGATCATTGATGAACTTTTGACTTCCCTAATGTTTCCTTTTCCTCGGGTGTAAATAACCGGACGGAATTAGTACCCTCGCCCCGGGCTAACGTCCGGAACGGCGC